AGCCCATGTTGCCAATTCTCCTCATAATTCTCAAATATTAGGCACCAACGATCATCTTACGCGACAATACAATACTTCAAAAATTTGTTTACTCCAGGTGTACGATATTAATTTTGCAATGAAATTTTATTAAAATAAGATCTCTACCTCTTAAAATAAGAAAGTTAGGCGGCCCTAAAGTTTCGGTACTTTTCCGTTTTTTTTATGGTTATTCATAAAGTTAAGACATGGATCTCAAATTTTTATATTATACATCAAGGCCTTAAAAATTGCAACAAACAATATAAAAATTTATACATAAGAGAGGCCCTCTTATAGTAGACAGTCTGAATATTTCAAGAAAAGTAAGGTATTTCAATGTAACTATTCAAATTTGAAAATTTTTTACCTTAAAAAATATACTTTTTTGAAAAAATCAATAATTTAGTTACATTATTATACTTCATAATACAATAGCAGTTTGAATAGAATGCATGAGTTGCTTTGTGTTAACAACTGAATTCATTTTGAATTAAATTGAACATAAAATTATGTATAAAAAATAGCATTTTTGTGTACAAACCTAGAAAAATCTGCAGTATTTCTTATATATTGTGGTCTGACGTTCAGCCAGGAAAACAAGAAAACGATAACTTGCTACAATAGATATTTCAGTCGCAGTTTTTAAAAAATATATTGAAGTACTTATGTCGAGATATTTTGTAATAAACAAAAGATATCTATTATAGTGGACGACTGAATGAATACCCTAGTTCAGCGGTTCTTAACCGTTTGTTTACCGCGGACCTGCTTTCAATATTTTTTCTTGTTGCAGAACCCCAGTTACTTACCTGTTTATATATAAGTCCCAATTTAAACACCAAATTTAAATTTTGGAAAGATAAACAATAAGTAACACTCCGACGTAAGAGAGAGTGCATTAAAATATTATTTTTGCACATTCTTATAGGGGTACAATAATCTAGTTTCCTTAGTTTTACATCATATTCTCATGTTTTTATAGCTCAATTATAATTATTTATTTTTATTTAAAATAATGTTATTTAGAGTAAAAGCGTAATGAGCTAGATCTTGTAGAGCTTTAATTTCACCGTTAGTTATATTTAAAAATAAAATTTTATCTTTGGAAAGTAATCTGATAAAACAATTTTATTTCCTAAATTTGTAGATATTTCGCGTTTTTTTCGTAATTGGAATTTTATTTAATCTTTTTTTGTTTTTTCATAATTATGTACATTGAATTAAAAAGTTCATTACTAAAGGATTTCTATAACTGTTTAAACATTCATTTCTAAGATTTCTATTACTGCTTTTTTTAACTGATAGTTTTGGTTATTTTCAAATTATTCAACTATATATACTTATGGAAAATTTATTTTACATTTATAAAATAATTGTTAAAAAATGACTTGTTTTCTAAATAGACTGGAAGACATATTTTTTTTGTAGAATCACCAACCAAAATTAAATGCACATATTTAATTTCAAAATTAATCAGTCACTTGTATTTCTGATATTCTTAGAGGCAGTATCTTCTAGCATCTGCGCCACTAATGGTTGTCTACTCAGCAATTTTTGTCCACAATTATAAAATGTCGGTAATAGTGTACTAATAGTTAAACATGCAGCAGAATATCTAGAAACATTAAACACAAAGTGCCGTTTGTTAAACTGGCATTTTTGGACAAAATGAGAACGGTTGCAGAACTTGATTAATTTAAGGACTTTAGTTGCAGCAAGTAGGTACTGTAATGGTCCCATTTTAACCCAAAATCTATAACAACTATTAAAATTTAATCATGTACAATTTTGGATTAAAATTTCAGATTATTGTCAAATAAAATGTTCAAAATTATTTGGTATATTGCCCGATAAAAAGAATGCTTGCCTCAATAAAATAATAATAGTTCGAACAATATTTAAGAAGTATTTATTTTGATAATATATCTGTGAATAAATTATACTTTTACCACATATTACTAACCATATGCGACAGCTCTTTGATGTAGTATGTGGTAAATTTCGCCGCGATGATCTTGGACCTTTAACTGGGATGCAGGGCGTTGCCAAGTGAGATAAAATGATTCAGTATTAGTCCAGTTGGTAGAGCTTTGGCGTGTGTCAAATCTTGATAACCCGGAAATAACTACACAGGTCTACTTTAAATGATGAGTACAATAACAGGCTAATTTGCTGACAAAGTATTTTATCAGGAATAAAAGTTATTAACAATTTAATCGTGAAAAAAATTTTTTTTAGTAGTTTTCTTTAAATAACTCAGCGGGATGACTTTGTACGAAAAAATGCTTAGGACATTATTTTGTTCGTAATAAAAATAGCTACAAAATGGCGGTGGTCCGATTACGAAATTTGCAATAACAAAGCCGTGAGATTGAAAAAACGGTATAAAACGTCAATTTTTTAAAGTTGCTGTAAAAATGTCAATTATAAACAAAAAGTGATAAAACTTTCGAAAACTATAGTTCAATATATATATATATGTATATATATATATATTGAACTTCAGATTTCCGCGGATATTATATGTGTTGTCAAGATGTTTCCGGGTTCCTCTCCGCGTATGGTTTTCTTGATTCTGGATAGAATCGTGTTCTGGACGACGTTTCGGCAAGATCACACTTGCCATTTTCAAGTCTTCTTTGTTCTACTTCGTGTAATACGTTGTGAACTGGTGTTTACCTGCTCTGCTGCTGCTTTATATATTATTTTCGCGTTCTCCTTCACTGGTTTTCGCCTCGGTTCGCTGCTCGTTGGTGCGTCAGATGTCATGCTTGGTGAAGCGTTGCGTCGCGCTCTGATGATTTTGTTTGCGAGAATCGGTTTCCAAGCTATTGGGAGCCTTTGTGTATCGTCACGTGTATTTAGATTTTTTGTATGTTTTTCGATTTCTATGGCTTCTCTGATAATTCTTTTGGTTTTATGTTCTATGTTGGCAATGATTCTTGTTTCTTCGAAATTGATTTTATGTCCGGTGTTTTTCGCATGTTGCGCCAAAGAAGAGGTTGCCTGATTCTTTTCTACAGCATTTCTGTGTTCCTCTCTTCGTGTTTGAACTCTTCTATTTGTTTGTCCTATGTATGATTTTTCGCAGTCGCCACAGGGAATCTGGTAAACGCCTTGACCTTCGAGTGGAATCTTCGTCTTCGCTGATGGAAGAATGTTGCCAATTTTCCTGTCGGTATTGAAGACAGTTTCAATTTTATGTTTCTTCAGTACTTTGCTGATTTTGTCAGTGGTTCCTTTTATATATGGAAGGAGTGCTTTGGCAACTGGTTTATCTTCTTCGGTCCGTTCTCTATTGTGGCGTGGTCTTAATGCTCTCTTGATGTTGTTATCCGAGAAACCATTTTGTTGAAGAGCTTTTTTAACTTTTTCGATTTCTTCTGTTTTGTGTTCGTTGTCAGTCAGCCTTTC